GGGTGTGGGGTGTGGGTGTGGGTGTGTGGGTGTGGGTGTGGGTGTGGGTGGGTGTGGAGTGGGGGTGGGGGTGGAGGTGTGGGGGTAAGGGAGAAAGACGTCACCTAGACATCCACACCCACACTCACAAGTGACAATTGTTAAAAAGCAACTTTTTCTTTCGACACTTGATCATTTTCAATTTCGGAATTTTTTCTCTAAATTATTCTTTTCTAGAAATTTCAAAGCCACAGCGAAAGTTGCAAAATTTGTTATAACATGAAAAACTTATTTAAAATAGGATCGAAAAGTCAAGCATTTGAATAGAAAATAAAATTCTCTATATCGGATGTAAATATTTGTTACTTTGTTTATTCAAAGAAAAATCTTCGAATTTTCAAAAAAAAGATTTTTAATTGAGTTTTTATAGTCGAGAAAATTTCTTGTTTTATTGAAAGATTGTGCATCATGTTGTTTAATATTGAACATGTTTGTATAATATTAATTATTTATATATTTTAATAAAAAATTTGTTATAGGAAAGAATCTATAGTCTATTATTTATTCACAACGAAAAGTTAAGATAATATTTTATTTATTTTTTCATTTTCTTTCTACTATTGTTTTTGTTTTCAATTGTTTTGTTAAATTATTTATTGTTTAATTCATTTTCAACATGAAATTAATTTAATGGATTAATTAAAACTGAATAAATGAAATCTATATTTTTAATTAATAATCAATAACAATAAATTATATACATTGAATATACTCAATTTTTTTTATCTAAATCTTTTAATAAATAAATAGAAAATAATAATAATAATAAACAATAGTTGTTTAAATATATTTCTATAATTTATTTATATTTATCGACGATTTTATTTTCTAAAATGCTTTCATATTTAAATAGACAAATAATATATTGATAAATTCCATAGATAATTTAACTATTTTATGTAAATCATATCGATAAAAATCTTATCTATATACAATGGTTTGCAAAAAAGAACCTTGGAAGAATTAGTCAACACAGAGATTTAATATTTCCTAGCTTTTTTGAAGGAGATATTTTGCTGTTATCGTAGATTTATATTTAGTAGGTTATATCTACTTAAAATATTCATTTACTTTATCGATCTGTGTTTTTTCGTTATGAGAGCAAAGTTCGATATAATAAACCCAAACAATACGAAAAAATAGCATATTTCTTGATTATATTATTGAAGGAAGGGAATTCGTTCAGTCAGAAAAAAAACCATTAGGCTACAAACACACCTTTGCCTACAATAGCCTATCGGTTGGGACAGCTCAAGTACCAAACTTCTTTAAAATATTGAACAAATAAATTATGAACAACCGTAAAATTAACACTACATACAGTCAAGTACCAGATCAATTCATTTTGTGAAATTACAAAGTTGCCATCAATGAATCGACTGAAAAGTCACATAACCAATGTCTCTTTATTGTTTCATAATATGTCAATCATTTTCGGTTGCATTCGAATTCTTCCTGATTGACGAGCAGCCTAAAATAAGAGAAATACTCATCGTCACAACTATTTCTCATATTTTAGATTGCTCGTCAATCAACAATCCGAATATTAATCCCCATGAAATGTTTGAAATATGTAAAACATAGAATTGGGAAAAGATAATTAAAAAATACAAGTAAACTGAAAACTTTTTACAAACTAAATATGAACTCATATGACAAAATAAGTTGTAATTAGTTTGGCAAATCGCATAAAAAAGCGTGTAATTAAGTTTTTGAAGTAAAAGAAGAGAGAACACAATAATGAACGGGATGTTGTTAAACTATGAACTATTGTGTATGAAATAATGAAAGATTTTTTCCAAGATGATTAACTCAGGCGCTAATATAAGCCCAATGTTTGATCCAAGTTTTTTTGCGAACCACTGTATATATATGGGGGTGGCCAACTTGACTGATACCCCGTTTTGATACAGTCCTATTGTAAGGATAAAATTTACTATTGTCCAGGTCACATAAGAGAGGATCCTATATAATCCTAGATTGGTCCGAACACCGCCATGTTTTATCCTTACAATAGTAGAGAATAACTACTAGCCCTCATCGTGTGAGCTAGTAGCTTTTCTCTACTATTGTAAGGATAAAACATAGTGTTGTTCGGGCCAATCTAAGGTTATATAGGATCCTCTCTTATATGGCCTGGACAATAGTAGGTTTTATCCTTACAACAGGGCTGTATCAAAACGGCGTATCAGTCAAGCTGGCCACGCCCATATATATATAAGTAGTTAAGATCATAAAATAATTTAAGAAAATGATCGATTATTTGATTTAAATAAATTTCAATATAGTTCTAAGAATTTATTTGTTTTATTTATATCCTATGATAAAATAATATCATTGATAAATATATTCGAAAATTAATCAAATATTTTTCTATAATGTACAAATATTATTTTATATGTTCGATTAACTAATCGATATTCGATTCATATTGGATAATTTTTTTTTTCTTAAACAACGAAGAAAAACTTAAAATAAATTTCAATTAATAAATGATTTTTTTTAATATTTCGATGATAAAAAATACTAAAAATGACATATAGAATTCGATGAAAATCGGCATTATAAATAAAAAAATAAATTAATATTAAATCTATAAATCTATAAATTATTATATTAAATATGATTGATCATTTTAATATATATGATAATTAATGTTTAGATTAACTTCATTTAATAATAATAATTGTATTGATAAATGAAAAAAAAACACATAGATTATTTTGTTTTTAATTAATATACTTGTTGATCTATATCATGATGATCAAAGTTTTGTAATAATTTTAATAAAGTTGTGTACTATTGATTAATATCAAAAGTCGTCAATAAATCGAAATAAAAGCTAATAATTAAATATTCTAGTTTTGTTCTTACTTAAAAATATTGTGTTGTGAAAGAGAAGAAAAAATTCTCTTTAACATTAATTTATGGAAACAAAAAAAAAATCAAGACTAAATTGTCTTTTTTTTTTATAATCAAATTCATCTTAAATACTTTAAAAAAAATGTATAAACTTGAATTTTATTGATTAATATATTTGAAAATTTGAGTTATTTTCTTTTTTTGCTTTAAAATATTTTGATATTTTTTATTGTTTTTTTTTAAATTAAATTTTCAATATATTTATCCTGATATTTAAATAAAAGATTAAAATGAAAATGTTATATGTATTGTATTGATATGATAAATGATAAGAATTTGTTTTTATTTAGATTCTTAAACTATTTCTATATGAATTTTTATTTTTTAATTTAAGTAGTGTTAAACCTAAAAAGTTGAATTGATTTTAAATTCAAAGTTTAAATGTTACTCGAAATTCTTAAAAATAATTTTTGTTTCAAATTTAAAAGTCAAAATCTTCAATTGAATTCAATTTTTAACTATGAAATTTATCTTATAATCATAGAAGAAAATTCATTTTTTCACTTAATTTAACTATAAAAACTTTCACCAGTATTATTAAAATTATTGAAATATTGTTAAATATTCTTATAATGTAATTTATTTTCGTAAATAAATATTTTCCAAGTGTACAATAATAATTATTTCATTCATTATCTTTATTTTATTTTTCTTATTTCTAAAATAAATAATAAATATTTTTTGTTAAAGCTTTTTTTTTTATTTAATATTATTTTATGAAATATTCTTAATATCATCTGAATATGATCATAAATAATTTATTTCAATAAATATAATATATAGATTTATTCAGTTATGTTACTATAAAACTGTTTAATTAATAAAACACATTTTCATTTAAACTTATTCGTTTAACTATATGAAAAGTTTTTCATAATAAAAATAATTTATTTCGTTTTAATCAATTTATTTTGATAAGTTTAATTCTTTAGTTCGTTAGTAAATAATTAATTTAAGGAAATATTTTATCTTTAACTGATCATTGTAATATGTAATTATTATATTTATTATTATTAAAGTTTAACTTTCTTTTAACTTTGAATGAAGAAGAAAAAACTTATCTCTATTAATAGAAATTACTTTTCATTTGTTCAGATTTTTTATTTCTTCTAAGTTTTCAAA